GCAGTAGATCGTTCTAACGACGCCACTTCTATTGTATTAAGACTTGAATCAACCCAATATAGGTTACGTGCAATCCAATCTAATGCAATACCTTCTGTAACATCCAAACCTTCACTAATAAATACTGTCACATTTGTGCCATTTCGTGTTGCCGAATAAATTTTCTTTTCTCTTATATCTGACCTATAACATACATCATATTCATTGGATTCAATCTATAAAACTATAAAAAATCTTATATTAATCCATATAAATATCATTTCCTTGGTATTTTTAAATGATAACGTTGATGACAACATTTTTTTTAATTTAAATGATGACTGCGATGACAAGATTTTTTTTAATTTAAGTGATGACAGCGATGATAAAATTTTTTAAATTTAAATGATGACTGATAGGTATAAAATTACAAGAAATGTTTTATCTTATATTAATCATATAAATATCATTTTTTAACATTTTGAAATGATAACGATGATAACAATATTTTTTTTAAATTTAAGTAGTGCAAATGTTATAGTAAAATAAAAATTTTCTTTTTTTTATAAACAAATTAATCTAACCAATAAATTCGATCTTCTACTGAATCCCAAGCTAATGCAATTGCATTCTCCACTCGTGCTTCAAATGTATGCCAATTCTCGAGTAAACGATCAGACCAATAAATACGATTACGATTTGATACATAAATGCGCATATCCTGAATAAATATTTCCAAAAAATATTTCTTTTAAATCTTTTCAATAATTGTTATTGATTGATAAGATGATAAGAGTGTTTCAATAAATACCTGAACACCATCAATAACTTTACAAGTTCTTTTATCAGCATCCAATACGTATCCTTCCTCACAACTACAACGAAATCCATGCTTTTCATCAGTACAATTCTGACTGCATGAACGAGCATCTAAGCATTCATTTTCTGGTTCACATTTTGTCTTATTCAACACCTGTAATATTTTATTTTCTCATCATTTAATCTGTAAATTGCTTTTTTAAAAAAAATTAATTTGATCAATTAACTAATCAAACTTATCATTAAAACAAAAAGTGAAGAAAGATTATGCATAAATTTTAGCAGAAAAAAAATCATCATTTACTTTTTTTTTTTTAAATTCAATGATAAGCAAACAATCTCTTTCATTATTTTCTTTTTCTTTTCCAGGTCCTAAAGTTTTGTTTTAATCGGTTATCTTTGAAAAATGATGTGAATTTACCGCTTCACCAAATGGACACGAACAAAGTGGACCATCAGGACTCATGTGACATTTGAATGCACAACCAGCTCGATCAGCAGCACATAAATCTCGAGCACATCGTCCGCCCTCATCGGTACCACCGGGACAATGATCTTTACCATCACATAAATTATGAAGTGATATGCAAATATCTGGAGCTCCTGGACATGCTATCTAAAGAGGAGTGAATTGAAATAGAAATTTCATATATATATACTTCATAATTAAATTAACAGGATTTCTTAACAGGATTTGCAGGATCTCTTAAAAAGGCTAAGAATTTATTGCAAATTCCATAATAAATATCATATGTCTTAAAATTATAAAGTTAAAACATCCACGAATTAAAATTACATCCATTGTATGAACTGTCTGTAATTAATTTTTTGCTATCATCTATGCATATCACCAGAGGTTATCTATTGGTGGAACAGTTACAATTACAGAACAGGTAGCTCAAGTAGTTATCAAAATTTTTGTATCTATGACAATATTCAAAAGTGATTTAATGTAAAAACTGAATGAAAAATGTACATGTTCGAAAGGACATCGAACAGGAAGCAGTTGAGAACGCTGACAGCCGTGTTCCGCATCTTCATCACTATTATCACCACAATCATTTTCTCCATCACAAAGCCAAGTCTATAAAAGAAAAGAAACGAAACTAAAAATTAACTATCAGAAATATAATTTTACTTTTAAATTTAAAAATCTTCTTCTTTATGGAAAGTTATAATTGCTATTAAATGTTATTATTTATTCTCATATAATCTAATTGAACAATCAAATAGATGGGATATGAATAGATTATTTCATTCTAAATATTCGAAATATATAGAAATATTCTATTCTAAATATGTAAATTTAGAATCACTTACATTTTAAAAATATAAATTTAGAATAGGAATACTCACATACTAAATACGTAAAAATGCTTACGTACTACACTTTCTAAATATGTAAAAATACTTGCATTAAAAATGCAACGACCATTAGCACATTTGAAATGATCTTTGGCACATTGAATGCTTGAACATAAGCCTTCCGGTTCATCGCTTCCATCTTCACAATCCTGAAATGGAGTCGTTAAAATGTCTTTTTCTTATGTAAAAGAATTCAGCCTACGATAATCTTACAATCAAACAAATAAAAGCATTTAAATATAGATTTATTGTAATTTATTTTGAATTTTAAAATAGTAAAAGTTGAAAAGAATTTGAATTACCTTTTGTCCATCACATTTCCATGTCATCGGTATGCAAAGTCCATCAGATACGCATGTAAATTCATTATGTGTACACTTATTCTCCTACAAAATAACCATTTTGATAAATTGATTCATTTATGAATCATATATTTTCTTCTGCTTAACAATAAATTTCAAAAAAAAAAAACTGCTATTGATAAATAAAACACTTTTTTCTTCCCTTTTTTTCCTAATGTATAGTATATTTGAATGATAATGAAATTAATGATGAATGAATAAAAGAACCTGAGAGAGACAACTTTCTTCATCCGATCCATCATCACAATCTTGCTGTCCATCACAGTGATTTTTAAGTGAGATACATTGTCGTCTGTTAGCGCAACGAAATTGCTCAGGGCGACATTGAACTGATGGACATCGTTCCTTATCTTCATCCGTATTATCATAACAATCATTATCACCATCACAAAGCCAATAAACCGGAATACAACGACCATTACCGCATGTGAACTGCACATGAAAAATAACTAATTAGTTATTTTATATTTACTTGTTTATTTACTTCAACTCAATTTTTTTCTTTACTTTTTTC